TGAACTAATTTCGTGACAGACAGAGAAACACACACACACACACATACAGACACATTAGCGCTTTATTATATATTTATGTATCCTTTGTCGTGCATTGCGCTACGTGGTAGTGTTCTGAGCGGACGATATTTGCCGAAGTTCTTGCTAGTTTACTTTTGCACCAATGTTAGTTCTGTGATGCGGTTATAGCATCCTTTCGCGTCGTCAGCGATTGAGCTGTAGAGCTAAACCGATGCTAGATTTTGCATATAAAGTATCTTTTTTTTGAAGAGATCATAAAGTTTCTTGATATTTGTGGAAGAGGTGAGCATTGCATTAGTTTTGCGTTTTTTTCATATTGCTGGAGCTGCCAATACAAGAAGGTTTTTTGAGGACAAGTGAACAATAGCTAGCTCTTATTGCGAAGACGCGGTCGAGACTTTTTGCATTCCTATATGATGCACATTGAAGTTCCCAGCTCCTCGAAGATTCAGTAGTTCTTTGTGTGCAGGTTGAACAATTGATACCTTTCCATTTCTCTTCATGAAGGTAGGGGAAAGGATTAGTGGTTGAGGAACAGTAGTGCCTATGAGGCTGAATTTCAGAACTTCCATTTGGTGCTCTGCCCTGGGCGAAATATTGGGTTGAGGAATAAGTTCGTAGCGTTTTCAAAAACTTCTATTTAAACAAAAATCAATGGTTTTAGCCATAAATCAACTAATAATGTCTTCGCCGTTGCTGTTTACTATCTCTTCCCACCTCTCGACCAATTTGAGACTCCATTTCACCAAATTCAGCAGGTCGTGTCATGTCAAAATCGCCACTCTGAAAATTTGCAAACGTATTTACGTGTCGTAGACTCGGCCATAACACCTTCTCCGTATACGTTGCAAATCTCACGGGCTACCTCAGCAGCGTTTTGGTCTCGATGAAATGCGAAAAAAGCAGGTGTCGAAAATGCTTATTTTTACCGTCTGGATACTCCATTTCTAAGCCTCCAAGTACTGTAAGAAAAAAACTACTCAAAAGGGCGATTATCACTGTTTTGTAGAGCAGAAAATGCTCTAACGAGAAATTTCTATACTTCCTTTTAAACAGGAAAACATTGTTGAAACTATAACAAAATATAAAAACTCTACGAACTTATTCCTCAGCCAAATATATCACGGGTTTACCGAAAACAACAAATTGTTTCTCAACATCTCACTCGCCATCGAGGAATACGCTGTCATAAGCAGCGCTTCTTGTATCGCGTTGTCAGGGAGATGAGAAGTGGTGCCTACATAAATATGAAACAAAGAAAAGAGTGGATGGCTCCAGGAGATACGCCAATGCCGAAGGTAAAACCTGACCTCCATCCAAAGAAGATCATGATCGTTTGGCGGGACTGGGGCATGCTGCACTGGGAAATGCTCGAAAGGAATACCGCGGTCAACAAAGAGCTCCACATGGCCAAGCTACACTGTGTCGAAGAGGTTATTCGACTGAAAAGACCCCATCGAAAAGATCGAACCATACTCCTTCACGACAACGCCAGGCCCCATACTGCATAATTCGTAAAACTCGCACTCCAAGAGCTCGAATGGGAGGTCCTTTAGCATCCACATTACTATCCGGATATTGCACCCATGAACTACCACTTCTTCCGCTCTCTGCCGAACCACATGAGGGGTGTTATATTCCAGAATGAAGAAGACCTTAAAAACTGGCTCAATAACTTCTTTGATAGCCGACCTGCCGAATTTTGGCGATGTAGCATCGACAAATTGATCGAAATGTGGGAAGAGATAGTAAACAGCAACGGCGAATACATTATTAGTTGACTTT